TGCTTATCTGGGCAGTCTGGTGCTGGAGCATTGGCTCGGAGAGGCAGACAGGAAGAGACAAAAGCAAGTGAATTCTTTTTTTTTTTAAATAATTCATATTAGCGTGGTTTTGTGCCTGGAACTCTCAGATGTGCCCAGTAGACACAAGACCAGTTTCTCTTTGGTTTTATGTTCCCATCTAAGTCAGGCTGAGAGTCCCCACACACCTGTATTTCCAGCATTGTCTCTGTTAGTGGAAATTTCCTGTTCCAAACCAGGCCATATGCTGGAGTGGGATGAACTAATCAGCTTCTGCCAAGGCACAGCAGGGAAGGACCCCGGTGTGGCTGCAGCTACGGTGGAGCGGTATGGGATTATTTTTAATTAGCACTTTCCTCCAGGAAGTAAGTGTAGTCAGAGAAATGCAAAAGATCAAGTCTTTTTTAATTTTTTTTTTTAAATTTTTTTTTTTTCTTCTCAGTCTTGCTTTGTAACTGCCTGCGCGGATCTCTGCAGAGCTGCCGTGCAGATGGCAGTGCCTGGGAGTGCGATGGCGCTAATTTCCCTTGCGCAGCATCACCCAGAGACATCAAGCTGTCAGCGTTCAGATGACATAAGAAGTGAAGCACGAGAGATTTCGTTTGGCTCCTCTCTGCCCGGCTTTGTTCCCTGTTGTGTTTGTGCCCTCGTTGCTGTCCAAAACGCGCGGCGTTGCTCTCTAACGAGGGATCGATAGGGTGCAGCCTCACTTTGTTAAGCTCGTGTCACGGGTGCAAGATGACAAGAGGCGCCGCAGGCAGTAAAGCAGCCGAAATGTCCCCCCAGCTAATGGCTGCTTGGAGATGCTGATGCTTTTTTCAGAGAACAGGATGGTTGATATTTGCTGATGAGAAGAGGGAATTTTGGGTGGTGCATCAACAACTTGGAGCTAATGTCACAGGAGGTGTTCGAGGCAGGCATCCTGCTGATCTCCGTGCCCCTTGTACGCTGTGGGAATTGAAGAGAACATCTCTCTCTTCTCTGAATGCTGCATCTGCACAGGTTTGGAATAACCTGTTTGCTTTGTAGGCTTTTAATGGTATTTGGCTCAAGGCTACATCCCCTTAGTGTGCTAGAGCAAGAGAAAAAACCTAATGATGCAGCAGAAATCCAGAAGCACTGGCATGGGGAAGGGTCCTTGCTTTAAGTATGAGATGATGGAGTACGTGTGCGTGAAGAGCTGAATCTAGCAAATGCCTGTTGGGGTAGGAAGAAGTGACCCACAGCTGCAGGAACAGGCACGGCTGGGTTCTCTCTTGTAGTCTTGGAACTAAGGAGCCTCCTCTTTGGGCGTACGCAGGTTAGGCTTTGCCTCTGGTCTGCGATGGAGCTGTCGGAGCTGGTCCCTGGCCATCCCCTGGTGCTCTGTTGGCAGTCTCTCTGCTCGTAGTCTCTTGCACAACAGGCGCCCGCGGTTGTGATGCTGTACTGCCCCGCGGACACTCCCTCAGTCCAAATAATGGCACACAAAGGCTGTTTACTTGGGAGACGCGCTGGTCCTTGGGGTATGCTTTCAGAAACCGCAGAGATTGCAAACGTAATAAAATATGTAACAATGACCTCTCACGACAAAGTAATTGGGTGATTTATAATAAATGACTGCTTTACTTCACTTTAAAAAGCATGCCAGCTCCTGCATGCCAGAGAAGAGTAGAAAATAAATTATGGTTTAGTAATTTCGGTCTCTTATCATAGGACCCTCCCTCAGATTCAAACCCTGGGACCCCAGGTTGTGTCCTTGGAGAGGTGACCCGTCTGTCATCCAGCTCGAAGTGGATGAGCTGCATTCCAGCCTGCGTAAGAAGAGAGTCTTTCAAGCTGAACCTCCCTCAATAATCACCGTATCGGTTTGTACTGATGGAGATCACATTCTGAATGTCATTGCAGAATGGTGCTTACCATGGTCCCTGCAGCATGCTGCCTACTTGGCAGCTGCTTTGCTTCCTGGAGTCGGTTGCAGTTCAACGGTGAAAGAATTTTTAACCCTTTGCCATTGTAAAGCAGTTTGGGATGAAGGGAGTTACATGAATGGGAGGTTATGATGAGGCGTTAATCTGTACTGGAACAGTGAAGAATATGTCAATGTGCTTTTTCTAGTACATGTTATTTAACATGAAGGGGAGTCAGTTTATCACTGTCTTGGTCTGACGTTCCCCTACCCCTCCAGCTACTATTGTGCATCGCAGGGAAGAGAATGGTTGGACATCAACGGCAGCAGGATCACACAGGTCCCTGCGATTTAAAAATCAAATCCAAGTCATTTATCCTCGGTGGCTTTTCGAATGCTACCTTCAAAGGCTTTTATCCAAGCAAGTCTGTGACCCCGAACCCCCCAGTCTGTGTCCCACACCCCTTACAGCCGCAGTGGGGAGGGGGCCGGGCGCTGCGGGCGGTGGGTGCCGTTCGGCTGTTGGTGCCAGAGGCTCTGGAAGGCTTGTGGAAGGACTAAGCCCCTTTGCCTGCTGTTCAGCCCCTTCTGAATAAAACCAGATCTGATGAGAGACCTGGAAGTTCTTTAATTACCTGCCCTGTGTACCTGAACGAGCTGAGAGAAGAGCCTCAGGACTTGGTTCTTGTTTGTCAGCTTTGGTTTTGGCTTCATTGGCTGCACAGCAAAGATCATGTAAAATTTCACTGGAAAATCCTTCCAAAAGGTGACAGCAGCTCCCAGCTTTTCTGTGTCAGACTGACCAGACATCTATCGGGAGGCTGAATCCTGCCAACGCATTCATCCTGGCGGTTATCTGACTTAATGTTCGGCATTATTATACCCTTGCAACCATCACCTTCCCCACGATTCACAGCAGGCTCCAGAGCTGTACTACACCATACCCACCCTGTCTGTCGACAGGTACAGAGAGAACAAAACCCCCCATAACAGAGAAACCTGAGTTGTTTAATTTCAAACAAAGCCTTGGGTGGGGTGAAGTACTTGGGAGTGTTGCTGGAAATATTGATCTGGGTTCATGCCAGCTGCTTAGCGTTAGATGTATCTATTGACCTGGAAAATATTGCCCTACACAGGGTGATTCTTGGAAATTTATCCCAAAATATGAGGACCCTGTGGAAAGGGAGCAGTGGCTTTACCACAGCCTGCTCAGGCAGTTCTCTTTTTAATTTCAGCTAGAAAGAATAGAAATAGCCCTAGCCAGGGTGAGTTTGTTTGGTAACATTCATGACAGCTGGAGCAATAGATGACGTTTGTTTACTTTGTACAAAATACCTCCAGCTTCTTTATCCTCAAAAAAAAAAAAAAAAAAAAAAAGTACTGAACTTGCTTAAAAGTTGGCTCATTTTTTACTTCAAGCTGCTGCCTGGCTGAGATGAACTAGCTCCAACAGGTCTGTGTAATTAAAGCAGTTCATAGTGGAACTTCCAGTTCTGTGTGTACAAACAGATAGGGAGCAAAACCAGAATTAGTGATTTGATGGGAAGAAATTATAGCCCTCTGCCCCTCTGGGGGAGAACAGCTCTGCCACCGACACAGGGCTGGCTCAGAAGGGTGCAGGTTAAAATGGCAAGTGTTGAACTTGCACCAAAGCAGAATTATGGGAATCTTATTTGAATGATTGTGCTACTTATACAAAACCAATCGGATGTATTTTTAGCTCATGAATTCTGTTGGAGAAACCTTTATGGGAGAGGTCACCTTGCCAGCCTAATCCTGTAGTCACAAGGTGTTCAAAGTCCCGCAGCACAGAAAACTGGGACAAACAGGATGTTGTGTTATGAAAGGGTTAACTGGCTAAACACCTGTGAGACTGAGAAACTGTCAGGTTTGTCAACCTAAAAAGGAGGGGATTTTTTGGGGGGGTCTCTAAAAAAAAAATCATAGTAGTAAAGAACCTAAGTATTCAACTAGTTTAACACAAGATGCCCGTTCATTGTTTTGATTATCTAGTCTCATTACACATCCATATTTATTACAGCCCAGAAGACTACATCGCCCAAAACTTTTATTTAATGAGCAGACATAACACAGGAAGTCCACACAAGACATACACATATACACACACATATATACCCATGTACATTTAAACAATGCGGAAGAGGTAGTGCTGTTAATTAAGAAATATACAACATGCAGTAAAAATACAAAGACAATTCAGATCTGCCTTCATTGCACACAAGAGGCTATAGAATGATTTATTCTGCATCAATCCAAATTTTAAAATGTACTCTTGTTCTCTTACATGATTGTACCTTGAATTTTCTAAAGGTGATCCTTCAGGTGATGAGCCCAAGGACAGTATTTAGCCCACAAGTTAAATACTATGGCTGTGACAACTCAGATAATGCGATTTGAATCCATGACTTCTAGCAGGAACCAGATTGTCTGTCCGTGTCAGGATTTAAGGTTAAGGTGTTCCACTCCTCGGTCAGGAGCATCCTAGCATGCCTCCAGTGCCCGAGAACAAGCTGCTAAAAGCTGGAGAGGCAGGTCCCAGAGCCAGAGCTCCAACACTTAAAGCCACTTACTCAGCAACTCCCTATACTCAGAACAGAAGCTGTGGGCAGTGTGTGAGCACGAAAGCGGAGTTCTTTCAGAACTTTGTCAGCCAGACGGACTGTTTCCTAAGATTTTTAAGCGGTACTTAAAGCAACTGAAAGACTTTGCTCTGTGAATGCTGTTTTAGGAAAGAAGAAAACAGACAGTTAAGAGGATTATCAACTGTTGAGACTTAAATGTAAAAACAAAACAGACCTAGACCTCAGTAAATGCACCTTCCATCTGCATTTCCAGATCTAACCAAGGCGTGTCTCCAGCCTGAAGATACCCACTAGGCAGAGTCAAGAGGCTAAGGAAGGCTGCAGTGAAAGAGGAAGATGATACCTTCCTTTTTTTAGGATTGTTTTCCAGATTTCCTGGTTTCCTATATTGTTTTAGCTCTGACAGGTCATCAGGGAAAAAAAAAAACAAACCAACCAAACAGCAATGCAATGAATCTAGGGAAGGTACTGTAGCATATTGTAGATAACGTTTATCTGATATACTCCTCCTCAGAGACGCAGGACATATCTTCATCTGTGCTCTCCTCCAAATCTGGCAAGTTGCCCCAGAGCAATACATTCACACCTGGTGAGAAGGAGGTAAGACAACAAAGGAAGAAAAAAAAAAAAGTATTTTTGGATTGTGACCTTATTTAAATTGCACAACTGTCTATTTTCAGAGAAAATAACTAATCATTGCAAAACCTGCTAAGTCACGTTCATGATAAATATATCCAGACTATTTCCTATTTTTCTTCCAAAGTGACCCTGTAAGTGTTATTATTTGCAGTATAATTCAAAGAATAAGTCCCTGCCCACAGATGTATTTATATAGCTAATTCATGTAGCTATTGATAATCCCCTGATGGCTGATTTATTTTTAAATGCATTGATCTGGAACCCAGGTGACACTGAAACGTTCAGGCAATAAGTCACTCCCATCTGCGAGGAGGAGAAATGATTTGTCAGCATGCTATGCGCTCCCCAGGACTCAGAGCAAATGATGGGCACCTGGCACCCCAGCAGCCCCGAGCTGAAGGAACGAGCCAGTGTGAACTGTGGTTTCAGCTTGAGCTGAGGAGGAGTCCGTTCTATGGGGTCAAAGTGACAGCATGACCATGGGACAGCTGCCCAATGGCCTAGGAAAGCTATACGTACCGCTATAAATAGTAGCTGCTGGCTGTGCTAGCTATAGTATTGCTTCAGCAAATCCTGACTTCTGCCCGCAGAAGGGATAGGTTGAGTTTTCCCATGAAGACAAATTTCCACTTTACAAATTTTCATTTCCAAAGTAACTCCCCCAAAGGCGTTTGCTGGACGAGGGACACAGCAACGCCCGCCTCGTGCCTCTGTATGTCACGCTCCCTCCGTACGCTCCAACTATACCAAGATGCCTCGTTACAAGGAGGGCTTAGAACTCGAGATTTTAGGGAAGAGAAGGAAACACACGTGTTCCTTACCAGAAGGGTCCAGTCTGTTGATGCCAAAGACGGCCTGGCTGTGGAACATCCACAAGTGGCCGTTGTTGCAGGACAGCAGGCAGGGCTTGCAGGGGGAAATCACATGGTAACCGACGACGTTACCGCTGGAAAGACAAGTGAAAGAATGAGCAACACAATGTCTGATGAAAGAATAGATGCTGTTGGCATTTCCAGCTCAAACTAATGGTAAATAGCCACGGTACTAGGTCATGACGTAACGTTCCTATTTTGATAAAGTTAAGGGAACGTAGTTTAGCAAGCATCTTAAATATTTAGGGAACATCTGTCAGGAGTTACAGAATATCTAAGTTTTAGATCTTTGGCATAGGGAACGATTTAGTAACTTCAGTTGTGTAATCCAGATTAGTTTACATACCAGCAAGTGATGCTGTTTTGTTTTGGTTTTTTTTTTTTGAAGGCCAGTGATTCCATTGGAATCAGTGCAGAAGTTCATCACGCACGTAAAATCCATCTGTCAGAAGAACTGTGCGCAGGAGAGTATCAGTAGTTGGAGTAATGAGAATATCGAAGCCTTATCCACTCTCCTAGGTTGAAAACCCAGAACAACTATTTTTCTAGTGTCTCAGTCATGCGCTCTGGTGAGATATTGCTGTTTCTCTACTTCGGTCTAAAAAATAAAATGCCGTGTTCCTATCACAACCTCCCACCGTTTACATCTGAACAAGGTAAAAGTCTTGACTGTGAAGCTGAGAGGATCGTCTCAAATCACTGTGAGCTATTTGGGAGTTGTTTTTACTCTTAAATATCAGGCATTAACAGAGAGGATAAAAGAACTCCAAGAACTTTAGTGACAGCATGTTCCATCTGCTAGCAACAACTAGATCTGCCAAGAGGATGTTCTATTAATTAGAATATGAGTAAGTACTTCTTACTGCGCCCTTATTCACACGATTATCTCAGTGTTGAAGCAGACATTTAATCAGGCAGGTGGCATGCAAGCTTTCCCATACACTCAGACTCCTGACGAGGTTGTCACATTTCCACTGGGGACTTGCGCAGAAACAGACTGGCAGCCATACCCAGGAGCAGTGGGCTGGGTTTCTATCCAGCAGCGTTAAATTTGCAATAGGGTGTGCAATCTGTTCACCCAGCCCTTAACTCCTGCGCTGCAGCAGCCTGGGGGAGAGGGTTACACCGTATTGCGGTGTGCTTGGGGAGGGGTCAGCGCCCTTGCGTTCTCACCACTTCAAACACGCGATGTTCTTCAGTTTGCATTTGCAGATCTCGGTAAAATAGCAGCTCCCGATGAAATCGACAGTACTGGATGGGAGGAAGGTAAAAATATAGCAGTAAGCAGTGGCTGTGATTACAACCGTAACGTTTTGATAATACAGGTGTAAAGTCACAACAAAATGTTACCATTACAGTCTTGTGTGTTTTTTTAAAACTTTCTGCAGTTCCATTTTCCTGTCACCTACCAGCCAGACTCATATGGAAACAGAAAGAGACCCGTGGGATGTGACATGGGTGTACCCCGACTCCTCTCAAATCAGACCAGACAGTGCTCCTTCTCTCAGCTCTTCCTAAAGCTCGGGCTGGCTGCTTGGCACTGTCGGTCAAAAAAATTTCATTCTAGACGTCGCCCTCCTTCGTGGCAGATCCCAGGGAAGCCTACAGCCCCGTAGCTGAGAGGCTGGGGCGTTTGAAACCCAGCCTTTGGTTTCTTATCTCCTTTTTAACCCGGGCTTTCTCATTAACATCTTATTTTGCAATCTTATTTCCTTAGTATTCAAATATCGTTATGGGAAAGCACCACGCGAGCGGCGGGGAGGAGAGTCGGTGTGGAACCAGTACGGGATCAGGTTTGTTCTGCTCACAGCCGGTTATTTCTGATTCTCATCTCTGCCTAAGGAAGGAGCTGGAGGAACTCCCCGTGGCCTC